GGTAGGACAACGAGGAGTCGGATAGAACGCGCGTTAACGAGCCGCGAGAGGCGCCGCACCTTGAGCCATCGGTCGGGGATGCGCGCGTCGTACATGGCGTCGAGCGAGGCGCGCAGCCCCTGGCTCATGACGATGGTGCCGTCGATGGCCAGCTTGAGGTCGTTGAGCGTGTTGCGCACCGTGCTGAGCACGCGCCGCAGCCGGTCGATCTCCTGGCGCAGGAAGATGTTCATGGGCAGCAGCGCCCCCATGCGGGCCAGCGCCTCCCGCACCTGCACACACCGACGCAACGCCCCGCCCCCGCTTTAGGCGTCCGTCGCATAGCGCAAAACCTGAAAAACAAATGTCTCCACCGTGTTTTTATTGTTTGCGGACGCGCTCTATTCATTGCTTTCTAGCATTAATATCATCATATCTCTTTTCATAGTTTGTTCTCATATTTAATAAATCACTTCGTTGAGCAACATAATTTATGATAATCTTTTTTCATGATAAATTGTCATGCATTTGAAGAAATCACACAACTTTTTCCCCCGTTGAGTTCGTGAGACCGTTACGTACATTTTGCCCGTTGAGTACTTAAGAGGTAAGTGTAATTTAATCCCGGAAGTGTAGTGCGTATTATATCCTGATAGGTAGCGGTGACCCTCGCCGATGGAACGTGAGGTTCGGCAGCGAATTACACGTTGGCTTGCGGGAGTTTTCTCCTTCCAGATATCTCCCCGTGGGGCACCAACACAGCCGGGAGAAGTTCTAAGCTCTCGACTTGTTACCAGACATGTGTGATAGTGTCATGCATGTAAATGTGACTTAAACAGGATTAACGTTGCAGCAGGGGCAATGATATTCCATTGTGCAGTTCGGCCCGACAAACAGAATTACAGACGCAAACAAAAATATACTAAACAAAAAGTATTTCCAGCAGGTTTAAACGAGTTTCAAAAATAATTTTTAACTGTTGTTGTGAACCTTGTTTAATAACGGTATCTTCATTTTATATTTGAATATAATTTTAAATCTCCTCTGTATTTCCCAATATCTGAAAACAATTTGTACCTTGCGATGTTATAATAAAATAATTGTGCCAAACAAGTATTATTTGCGTTTAAACAAAGAAATTATTGATGCCATCAATCTTGACCAAAAGTTAATAGTTAATTTTTCTAACAGAAAACCAGTGAATTCCCAGAACTTCAATTGTGTGTCATCAACAAATTTTCGTAGTCTATTTACGGAGGACACTTCCACCTTTCAATTCTTCCGAGACAAAAACGGTTGTTAAAAGATGTTAGTACGAAACATGGCGTTGCAAAGTGACTTACAATCGAGAAGAGGCCAATTGATGGACCGATGAAACCAACTCCTATTTGTGTATCGGGTAAAAGCTGTGCAACTAATTTTTTCTAAACCAATGGCCTGTCAATATTCTAAAGAAAGAGCAAAGCGCATCAGAAGTTCTATTCTTGTTAATAGGTGACGGCGCAGCAAATAGTCCTCTCGTGAATATAAAATCCACGTGTAAAGAGCCGCAATGGAGTAACAGTGGTGCGATTGTTGCTCTTGCACTACACCAGTGATATCAAGGTCGATGCCGCGAGCGGGCTTCAGTTGCAGTTAGCACAGCAAAAATCCTCGTGCAAAATTCACGCAGTTGATCAGCTTGCCACAAGAGATCAGTAGGTAGTGAAATTCGCCCGGAACACTTTACACATGAAATACTATTTAGATAAATAAATTTAAGAAGGATTTATTTATATTTTTACCTTAATTTTTCGGTGCATATCCTATTTTTTACACGCGGTTCCATCAAGTTGGAAAACGGCGAGGTTACTACACATAGTTTCGTTTCCCGACGCTAGTTGCGCTGACAAACACGTGACATGCCACGAAACCTGCCACTGCCACCGGCAGGAGACCTTGACATCACTGTACTCAGGCACGGATCCACATGGAGGGAAACGAGGGAAATTTTCCTTCGTAACATTTTTCAGTAACTATAAATTTGAACGAAACTTTCAAACAAAAATATTTTTGGATAATCTTTAAAAGGAATAAATTCGTGTCGCAGGATGCGCTGAGTGCAGCCTGCAGCAATTTTACAAATTCTGTAATCTGCCACATGTGCCTTCCTTCCCCTCTGGATCCGCGCCTGCCGTCCCGCACCGCGCTCCTGGCACAGACCTCGAAGACCGAGTAGGCGGGCGGCAGCTTGGACAGCATGTCCTCCGCCAGGCGGTACACCACCACTTCCCGCGTCTCGCCGCCGCCGCCGCCGCCCTCCTTCGGCTGCACCTCCAGGATGGCGTCCAGGATCGCCTTCGCCGTGTTGATCTGGTACCTGCGCTTGCGACGCACACATTACCTTGTACTTTTGCGCGGCGAAGTGAAGAGAAAGTCACGTTAACGCTGCACGAAAAAAACGGCGATATTTCGGCAGAAACACTTATAACAGGGTACTGGTAAAGAAAACGTGGATAAATTCAGCTGCTAAATTAGAAAAAAAAATCCTCTAACACGTGGTGTAGCCTGAAACCATGTTTTGTGGGTCCTTGATAGCAAAAAATCGAATGACGGCAAAACGTCTGTTCGTCCGTCTGTAAAGAACGCCAGTGGCTAAACCGTTCAGCTGATTTTCTCTAATATTGATAATCACCAATCTGTCTGCCTGTCTGATGTCACGGCATCTTCAATTCTAAACCGATATTTTGATTTTGGAGGGATAATTTACATGAAGCTCCTGAGACATTTTCCAAAATATTAGAAAGGTGCCTCCATCGATATTGTTATTGGTTAGTGTGAAGGATGTTTAACAGAATGGTACACATCAAACGTTCGTTGAAAACTTTGATTTTTAGAAAATTGCAATTGTTCAAAATTTGTTCGTTATTTTCCTGTAACAAGATTTTCAAAGGCAGATTTATTCCATTATGAAATCTGTTTTTTGAAGATAGATTTTGAAATAAGGTCATAAATAATTTTTCCCAATGTTTTGAGTACTCTTCTCATACTTTTGTGTGAAAACACGGGCGAAAAAAATCGTGCTAATTTAGCATCACTATTTTACTTTCTCATACTACGTACTTACATAGTATGTACAAAGTATCGTTGTGTGGCATTTTTCGACAGGGAAACTAGGAATGTCAGACCCTGGTGACAAAAAAGTGGATAAGTGTTATTTTTATATGTTGTAAATTACTTCCTCTAATGGTGTAGTCAGAAACCACATTTTGTGAGTTCTTGATATCGACAATTAATTGACTGCCAAAGGTGTTTTTCTACCTGCCTGTCCGTCCGTCAATGGAACTCTATCGCCTAAAACGCTCCGACAATATTCTCCAAAATTGATTTTCTCCGATAGATCTGAAATAAATCGAGGCCCTGCGCGTTAGAAACGGATATTTTGATTTTTAGGGGTAGAGGTTTTTACTTGAAGCATCAATAACATTTTCAACATTTTCTCAAAAATGGCTTCAAATATTTCAATATAGCTTTTTTCGCGGATAACTCAAAAACCGCTAAAAATGACTCATTTTCCTTAAACTCTCTAAATTTGCAAAAATTGTAACTTAAAAATTTTTTTCGGCCTTTTCCTACAACTATAACATTAAAGACTGAAATTTTTCTAAAATAATTAAATCTGTTTTCTTTAAATGTCATGCACTATTTTTTCAAAAATATGAGTACTTTCTGCTTTTTTTGTGCCGAATGTAGGCAATTTTTGAATTATTTTCGCGAAAACGGCTTCAAATTTTTCTTTTATTTTTTTCTCTGATATAACAATAGTTATTACAAATGTCGCATCTCTTATTTTCTGAAAACTCTGTATTTTAGAATATTGCTAACAAATAACATCACAAAAGTACAATATTAATAGATTTTTTTTCTTATAATCTGTGCCACAAAATAGATCGTTAAATAAAGACATCAAAACTTTTTGAATAAAAGAAATTTCGCATATTTATGCTTGAAGTTTATGTAACTTACAAAAAAATTCTAAAAAACGGCTCCATTTTTTGGTAAAGTTTCTTCCTCGGATAAAGTAAAGAACGCTTAAAAGTTGCGCAAGTCCTATTCTTTGAAGAAATCTCCATATTTTCAAAAATTCGAAACAAAAAAATTAACATTGTAAAAGTACCATATTGAAGATAGAGATTCTTCGTAACGAAATCTGTTCTTTAAACCTAGGACCCAGAGAAGAGGATCGAGCGTGAGGTGACAGCCTGCAGCAGAGGCAGGTGCACTCACGTGATGTCGGCGTTCGCGTGCAGGCCGAAGACCTCGGGCGTGTCGGAGGGCGGCAACTGGTTGATGTAGTCGACGTAGCCCTGCAGCTGGCGAGTGTTGGGCACGCGGTAGCCTTTGTAGAACTCGAAGCCTGGCCGCAGCAGCACGTCGCAGAACCACACCTGTGCACATCCGCCACCAGAGAAGGAGATGCGATACTTTCGTTTGATAAAGAAAGTGACTTTGTCAAGCGTAACTAGTGCGAATGCTCTGCACACCGAATGTTTTTCCTCCTCTAAGTGTTAAGAAATGCATCATTTTAATGTATACTCAACTACCACTACGAGTACCACTGGAACCGAGCACTACTGCATACTGCTGTATACTTGTACTGTATACAATATACTGAACTACTATATTGTAATGAAGACAAAACGTGCTGACGCTCCACTGAAAAATATATTGAATATATATCGCCATCCCGCGTTTTTACGCGTCAACTAAAATTCATGTGTATATTTTTGGAGAATATCACGAATTCCCTTAAAAAGTCACGATTTCCACGAGTGGTCAGAAACGAGCACAAATTCGCATTCTACGTAAAATTAAATTGACGCATCATTACATTCGGTATGATGGGCGTAAAATGTTTTAAAGAATGATTCAGGGGATGGCCTTTCAAAACTTTTATCCTGTATGAAGCTACAAGAATATTAAATTTAGAAATAGTGGTTTACAAAATGTTCGCATTGGTTCAGCAAGTATAATTTACATATATTTTCAACTACTATTGTATTTATTCTCTATATTCATGTATATTCCGTTGTGTAATTCTTTTATTAGATGGCTGAAGCTCATTGCATTAAGAGAGCCACTATGACATACTTTCATTATAGTGCAGTTGTTTGATCAATCACGTAGAATTTTACAGTTGAAATGTAACTAATCGTCAGTCATCGTTCTATTAAATGTTTCAGTAGAATGTACATATTACCACAGTATACGTATTTATATAGTAGCGCAGCTCCGTGTTAAATACCATATGACGTCGCGTTGGTCAGCGATCCGCGCGGCGATCAAGGAATACCTCATATCTGTACAATTCGTAATACAGCATCGTTCGGCTAAATCTAACCAAAAAGTAAATTTATATATATATATATATATATATATATATATATATATATCCTTATGAATATAACTAAAACCCAAGTGAGGTGGAAGTTTTGAACAGTTTGTAAGGAGAGAAATTATTTTAAATTAATGAATTGTTGTCAATTGAAAGTGAGTTAGTTGGATTGTGAGAAAGAACAATGCTATTCTCTACATTATTTCATGAAAATATATAGAAAATGTACAGTTAATCTACAGTAATAAATAAAAGGCATCTAGGTATACTCATTTTTGTCAAGGCGGAATGACCAAATTTTTCCTCTTTCCCTTCCACGGTCTATTAACAAGTCAAAAAACCCCAATGCTAACGCAGGGATGCTGTGTAGACGCAAGGCTGCAACCCCATGGTAACCGCAAAGGCTTTGTGTAAGGTACAAGCTCCTTTACTTCCCCTCGACCATATCGGTGGCGTGAAAGTGGTGAGCAGTCGCTTGTCGAAATCATCGAGTTGACGCGCGCCGCCGTACTGCACTTCGCCCAGCATGTCAGCACCACGGTGGGCCACGAGATGCCCCTTCTGGGGTCCAGGTCGTCCAGGTGGTTCTGATGAACTGCACGACGCGGCGAAGTTCGCGCTGTTAACTCTTAGGCAGTCCAGCCCAGGGCCCGGAACCTGCGCCGCTCCTGCACGACTGTGTGCAGGAAGCGCCACGGCGTCAGCGAGCGGCGGCCACTGCGCGCTGCGTCGAGTAGGTCCAGCGCTGTCCTGCCACATACGCAATTGACGAGGGACTTTAGTCCCGTAAGTGTAGCGCGCATGCGGGTTTACTTACCGCGGAGGTCGGTGGTGATCTTCCCCGGCGGAGCGAGCTCCGGGGTCGACATACACGCCCGTCCTGCCGGAGGTTTTCTCAGAAATTGACGGGATCTCCACATCTTGTATATAATTTATTTATTTATTAGTATATAAAGTAATATTAAAGATCTTAAAGATGTTTAAAGAAAAATAGCGGCTCAGTGCGGAATAAGGGCCTAGGTATATGTATCCCCCCATTGTTTTATAGGCTCCGCACGCATTCGTTTGTCATTTCAATTCAGGCATTGGCGTCATTGCTACATAAAACGTGCGAAGGGGTTATCAAATAAGCCATTAAATGCAAATTCTAATAAGGCTCCCGTAGTAGTAGACTGAGGGTAAAAAACCACCATGTGTGCAAAATTATGACGCGTATGTAGCGCCACGTCCGTTGTGATGGTAACCCCATTCTGCCTTATAATGAGGAAATATAACAATTCTTTTAAATAAACCATTTAGTGGGATTTTTGACGACTCATTCCATATCTAAATTTGTCTATTTTATGTTCACCAGGAAACATTACAAAATTTTGAAAGTAACAAAAGATTAAATGCCATTGAACTAAAAATTTACCTAGGGGAGAGTCGGCGGGGGTGAGAGTGGGGATCCCCGGCACTGGGCGGTGGGTCGGCGTGAGGAGCGTGGTGGTCAGCGTGAGGGGTGGGTCGGTCGATGAGGGGTGGGGTCGGCGGAGAGGGGGTTGGCGTCGAGCGGGGTGGGGGTCGGCGTGAGGGGGGGGCGGCGTGAGGGGTGGGTCGGCGTGAGGGGGTGGAGGTCGGTTGAGGGCGTGGGGTCGGCGTGAGGGTGTGGGTCGGCGCGTGAGGAGGTTGGGGTCGGCGGTGAGGGTGAGGTCGGCGTGAGGGGGTGGGGTCGGCGTGAGGGGGTGCGGTTCGAGAGGAGGTGGGTCAGCGTGGGGTGGGTCAGCGTGGGGTGGGCGTCTGGTTTAGGGTTGGCGGCGGGGTGGGGTGGCGTCGGGCGGGTGGTCGGCGCGGGGGTGGGTCGCGCGCGGCGGTGGGTCGGCCGCGGGTGGTGGTCGGCGCGGGTTGTGGAGTCGGCGCGGGGTGGGGTCGCGCGCGGGGGGGGTCCGGCGCGGGGTGGGGTGAGCGGCGGTGTGGGGAGGTCCGCGTGGGGGGGCTCGTGCGGTATGCGTGGGGGAGTGGGGTCGGCGTGGGGGGTGGGTCGGCGTGGGGAGTAGGGTCGGGCGGAGTGAGGATCGCGCGGAGGGGGTAGAGTCGTTGTGGCGCATGGGGGCGTCACCTGCGTGATGGCCTGGTAGGTGCGCTTGAGCGAGGCGCGGATGCCCTGCGGGGGCTCGTTGGTGAACTTGATGGCCATCTGCAGCAGGCCGATGGGGAACTGCGGGTGCACCTCCGTGGTCATCCACAGGCGGAACGACTCGTGCACGCGCTCCGTGTCCACCAGGGCGTCCATGGCCTCTCCGCAGAAGGGCAGCGACAGGTGGATGTTCTGCAGCAGCACCCACCCGCCCTGCGCCATGCTGTCGGCGATCATGCGCCGCGCCACCAGCTCCTGGCCCTGGCCCATCGACACGGCGCGCAGCGCTGCCAACACAAACCACGCACACACTTTCACACTTTGGACGACGTAGTAGAAAGTCATTTATTCCGTTTCACGTAAAACATGTAGTGAACGTACATGTTTTAATCTAATTTAACTGTACGATTAAATTATTAGATTGATGCGACATGCTGCGTAATGATAGCCATTATTATACAGGTTCGTTAAAGTGCAGTTGAATAATCAGTCAGAGAATAGAACAAAACAAGCATTGGTAATCTTTTCATTAAATATATCGTTCTATTGAGACGATCTGTGGTTAGTAGTCTGTACATCGCATCGACATAGAAAATGATAAAATGTTGAGCATGAGTGAATAAGTCAAGGAATTAAAACCTACAAAAGAAGGAGAAAAGACATGTATACGATGATATTTGCCATATTTTGAAGAAAAAGTAAATACCAAAACGATGTGTTGTTCTTTAAGTACAAGAAGAAGTAGTTGTAAGAAAAGAAGGAGATGAAGAAATAGAAGATTGAACAGAAGAAAAAAGAGAAGTAAAAAGAAGAAAAGAAGATATAATAAGAGTAAAGGAAGAAGATAAGATAATATGAACAAAGAAAGGGGAAGAAGGGAAGAAGTGAGAAAAAGAAAGGAAGAAGAGAAGAAAAGAGGAAGAAGACGAAGAAAGGAGAAAGTATTCAAAAAAGGAAAAGGAAGAAAGATGGAAGTGGAATAATACGAAAACAAAAGATTAAAATATGACGAGTCGAAGCAAAATAAGAAGTAGGGACGAAAAGAAGTAAAAGAGACCACAAGAAGAAAGAAGATAAAAAATAATTGGTAGTGGAGGCGAAAAGAAGAAGAGCAGAAGACATATAATTATTCAATATACACGTGTATTTTCGTAAATTGCTTTGTTTATGGATGAGTAATATTTCTGTATACACCAAACTGTTTACCATGCTGTTACGAGTATTTATGGGCAATCTTATTGGGATCTTATGGGATTATTTCATCGGATATGATTGATAATGAAACATTTAATCTACTCTGAACGCATTAGTACTCAGCATATAAAAGCGACAAGATTAGATAACTTTATTATTATTATTATTATTATTATTATTATTATTATTATTATTATTATTATTATTATTATTGTTTTTATTATTGTTATTGTTGTTAATATTATAATAATAATAATTTCTATTATTATATTATTAATACTATATAATTGTTATTGTTATTTCATTCATTTCTATTATCATCATCGTCATTTGTATATGTTGGACTAGTTCTAAAGCGAAGGGCGCGGGCCACTCACGGATGGTCTGCTGCTTGGCGAGGGCGGTGACCTGCGGCGAGGGGTCGGAGCCGATGGACAGGATGCAGATGAGCGGCGTGCGCGGCTCCGACTCCTGCCACGTGGCCTCCAGGTCCAGGATGCGCGCCTCGCCGTACCCCGGCCCCAGCGACTCTGCGCACGCCGCGGTCTCAGTGAGAAGCCGTCCTCCGCCTAACTATGTGCTTGTACCACATAGTTGGTGCATACAGAACGAGTTTGTTCAAAGGAAACAGAACAAATCACCAGTTTTAAATCCTCGAAAAATAATTTTAAGGTTCTAGACGATTCTAAGGTTCTAGAAGTTAAAACTTATTCTTTTGTGGTTGATACCAGCAAGTGCAACGTAAACGCAATGAAATAATTTTGCTACATAGATTGGAAATTTAGAGGAACTTCAGATCAAACAGGGATTTCATCTCTAGTGTGTGGATTGCATGTCAATCGGTAAATAATAACCGTGTAATACTACAAATTCATCAATAGTGACTATTTAATGCATTTAAATTTTAAAAACATCCTACGTTATTTCCAATTAGTGTATTAAGCACTTTTAGGCGCAAAATGTTTTTACACCTTGTAGGAAGAATAGGTAGAAAAATCTATACAGATTCACTGATCAGCAATGACGACTTTGTAATGCTTAGTCGCTGTTTTTAAGTCTAATTTTGCACAACGAAAAAGGATTCACAAATGTAGCGGTGCGCTGGTAGAAAACGACATATGAAGAAACGTCACGGGATGCAAATACTTTTTTAATTTTTGTACTGTATTGTATGTATTTTGCTTAGTTTTGCACAAGGCCACGGAGGAGTTGAGAGGACATTCGATGCTATTAGATCCGTCGATGCTGCACGGCCCGTGGCACTGATAAACCCTAATTGATTGATTAGTGATTTCAGTCGCGTGAACGGCCAAGGTCATTAGTCCCGTAAGTGTAGTCTCTCTCTCTCGAAAAGCGGCGATGATCATTGTCCGCTAGATGGTGGGATCCGGCGCCGTCATGCCAGACTAGTGGGATTTCCCCAACCAGATATCTCCCACCAGCGGGGCCAAGCTCTAACCGGTCTCTTGGCTGCCCTATCTCTCGGTATGAGTGGTAGTGTAGTACGTGATAGTGTAAGTGGTGCAAGGGATGAGGATAGGACAAGTAAGAGGAAGGAAAAATTGCGCAGTCTATGACCCGTTTGTTAGGGTGCTGCATTAGCATTCATCTCGTACTGCTAGAAGAAACCACGCAAAAACAGTGATCAGAGTAGCCGGTTGCTAGAATTCTTCTCCAGACAGCGGCTGAATTCGACCTAGCTGCCTAGCAGGCGTCGATTGTCCTGCCACCGTCGGACGTCGAACCCTAGGTCCTCTCGGTCAGAGGCCCTGAAGTGACATCACTTGATGCCCAGAGC